ATTAGGGAATGAAATTTAGGTTATCCTCTTAAAATTATATTAATAAAATCGAATATAGGCTTATAATAGCCTCACTTACTGCACCATAAATTTATCTAAAGTACTTGTCGATAATTCAATACCTTACCTCATAAGAAGTCATAGATATCCATACTAATACGCAAAATCTAAGGATCCTAATTATTGGGGACGACAATATTTTCCTCATTAATTATTAGTTTAGATGCATTGTATACAGAAGGACAAAGATTCTTTCTTATATTTCATTAAGCTAGATGAGACCTTGTCCCAGGGGGTTGTTAATGTTATCTTAAACTTATTATAATATTCTCTCTTCTAAAACTTAAACAGCATAAATTAAAATAAATTTCTTTTTTTTATTATTTCCAATAAAATTTAAAAAAAAATAATGAAGAAATATCAAGAAAAATGAAAAAGAAAAAATTCCTACTAAATTAAAATTTTGCTCAAATCTATATTAAAATATAAAATCCTCAAAAACAACCACAATAACATATTCACTATAAATTCTTAGAGGCTGGAAATCTTGATAGATATCACATCCTTTCTTAAGAATGGGTTTTTGAAGAATTTGTCGCAGGTTATACCCTATCTGAAAAATAAAAAAAAACTAAAAATAGGGTATTTTGAATGTACAAAAAATTCGAGCCCGGATTTAAAGATTAAGATACATATAAAACTTTGATCAATCTAAATGCACAATATTAACGAGTACAGGCTTAGGAGAATTATAGGCTTAAGGGGTCCTCATACTAGTCATGTATAATCCTTTCCTTTACTTATACTAATTCGACGTACCTGTATAATATTTTCCTTCGCAATGTTAATAAAATCATTCTAATCATAAGCAATTAATGTCCTAATTATACGAGAAATTAAAATAGGAATGAATTCTTTCGCATCTAAGTAAATTGTGGATGATTCTATTATTATCCTATACATATTATTATATAGGTGTATTCATCCCCTCTCTCCGTATTATTCATACATCTTAAAACCATTACTCTCAATTCCTAAACTGAAATCTATAGGCCGGCAGTATTTTTATATTATTAAAAGAAAAACTAATGTACATGCATGCTACTATATTCTTTGCTAGCCTATAATCATGGAAATTGTTATCTATCCTTAATCGGATATATGTTTATTATCACCGAATACGACGGCTCAAAGAAAAAATATCTAAATCTTCTACCTCCTCTTCTTCTGGATTTCTAATAATAAAGGGGTTCTATGCATATTATCTGCAAATCCCACCTAAAAAGCATTTGATAATGAATACATAAAATACTATCCAGAAACTTAAGCTAAAATTATATGACAAAAAAGAAAACAACTTCTCCCACTACTAACTTCCGCAACTTTTTCATAAAGGGAAAAATTGAAAAAATGCGTATAACCGAACGACATGATCATTCAGGATAGCAGCAAATTTCTATCTTGCCTAATACTTCCTACTTATAGTCGGGGGAAATTTATTCTGTGAATTACGAAATATTGGATCAACCCATAGCCTTTATGTTTCCTTTCTCCTTTTTCCTTTTCCCCCCGTTGGTTTCCATACATAATAAGTGCATTATATGAAAATGCCTCAGTACAATTTTAAAATGTAGAAATCGTATAAAGGTGATGATATATGTGAAATTCAATAAAGGACAGGAATATTTCCTATAATGGAATCTTCTTCCCCTTTTTCTATTCATCATGGTGCCCCCTTCATAATTATGAAAATGTAATATACACCACTGTATACTATTCTGAATATCCCAAAATTAAGACAGGTATGTTTGCTTCAGAGGAGTATAATCTTTAACCAGAACAATAATAAATTAGGCCGTTCAAAAAGTAAAGAAAGAGAAATCACCTTACAGGTAAATTTAGAGAAAACATTGTTCATATCTAATTTGCATCTTTAACTCATACGTTCTTTAATCGTCCTATACGTGTTCGTATGTACAATGGACGAAGGCTAAAATAAAGCATTACTGCTATTTGTACTCCTGGGGAAAGATGTGTGACCACTCTGTGTCGATTCTGAGTAGAATTTGTAAAGGAGGATAACTCAGAATTGCTTTACGCAGAGGTCTATGGGAGAAGGATATAAGTGTACAGGTTCTTAGGGGCTCTAACGCTTATGAAAAAAATGGAATCTTTAAATTGAGACAGGTTATAAGTTATTGTTATGGTCTCATCTAACAACTCCACGGTACCGATATATTTATGAGCATATCATATAATATATAATTATAT